CTGCCAGCGACCCCCTCCCCGCCCCTACCCAACCCCTTCCCCACTGACCATGCATCATCGGGTGCCAGTCTGCCTCCTGAGCGATCACGTGATGCTTTATCAGGCAGGCTGGTTCAGCCCCTGAACGATCACGTGATACGTTACCGGGCAGGCATGCAGCTCAGGCCTCTGAGCGAGCACGTGATTGCTTAACGGCTAACGCCCTCTGACACCTAGATTTTTTTTAACGGCATCGTATTTATTCACAAACGCTACTAGCGCTCTTCATTTTATGTTACCGATTTGGGACGCTCACAATGCCGTTTTCTGACGTTTCCATGGAAACAGAAAGCCCTAGTAATAAGTAAAGCTAGAAGTCGAGAGGAGTGTGCCATGGAACAACCATCCCATATTTTTCAGGTCACTATCAACGGACCTCTGTGACCTTGTCCACACTGAAGATCAATTTGCTTGATCTGGGGCATCATTAGCTTGTGTAATGTCTAGCCCACTATCAAGTCCAATACTTGAGACGATTTCTTTATTTTTTTTTTGGCATATAACTTTTAGGAAACCCAACATGAGCTTTAACACGCGCAGTGGAAGGGTTTCGAGTACCTACTACGCCCAGTGGAAGGGGGGGGGGCGGATGTCGTCCCCCCTAAGATATATTCCACTGGAGCTAGAAAAAAAAACGAAATTTGGAGGGTAGGTGGGGGCGTTAGGAAACTCTGTTGTGTGTGAATTTCATGACCCTAGGTCAATATCTTTAAGGTCAAATGAGGTCAAATATGGTCAAATCTGCCATATGAGCGACTTTTTTGCGTTTACACGCCGATAAGATAACTCAAAAAGTTACCAGCCGATTTTCTTTTTTTCACTATACGAAAGAGCATTCATTTGTGAGTATCTATGGTAGATTTCTAGTTAAGCCAACAATAAATATGGCAGTTAGAAGCCTTCTAAGAGTAGGATGTCGCCGGCTGAAGCGGGATCGGCCGACGCGGGAAACACGGCAATCACAACTTTATGTTTACACGCTATAACCCAAGTTTTTACCGGCAGATTTTAAAATTTCTTTGACCATAAGATGGCCTGTATATTTCTTAGTCTTTTCACAAATTTTGACGTGAATCGAATGTAATCAGCGGTAAGGAGCGCGATGTAAAGACGGAACCGTCCCGCCCCCGCACAGTCTACAATTCAGGCGCCGCCGCGTCGCCGCGGCGGTGGCAGGATGTTTGACTTTACACCGCTATTACTAGAAAAGCTGTGAACCGATTTTCTTATTTCCTGCACGAGAAGATCCGCAATGCCATTCTTGACAGGTGCCAAAATTTTACATTAATATTAGTTTTCTGCGCGAGCTATTGGCGAAAACAAGAGGGATGGGCGAATTCGCCTCTCCTTCCACTGTGCGTGTTAATTGTAGGCACGGAGTCGGAATCGGAGTGAATCAGAAGCATAATTTATTGGTGAACAGCAACCAAGATATCAATTCACTTTGCAGCACCTCTATGTATGGGGTGTCTTATTCTAATAGGTATTCACCAGATGCCTGAGCATTCATTTAGAGTAGACCCTCTGTAGACTAACCATCATTTTTATCTAACTATTACCAGAAACACAAGCATTCAGCAAAAACGTAAAGAAACAAGTATTGACCCCACATTTCCCGTGTTATTCAATCACATAGCCTTCTGTCAAGTGGCTTCCGGATTCAGGTCATTAACCTAAAGCACACAAAATATTTGAGACTCATGTTAGATTGTGTACATTGCCAACGATCTCTCCAGGGCTTTTTTCAAATAACATGCTTCATGGACCGCGCAACAAAGCAGTTTCTCAACCAAGAATAATGAATAGTTCAGCGCTCATCGCAGCATGCAACTCGATCCATCACCTGTCATTTCACTAAGAACTGACACAAAGCGATGAGTATTGGTGCAAATACTTTTTAATTAGCAAAAAGCACACTTTGGGTTCGACTCGAGCTTCACCTTTGATGGAGATATGAACATTCCGATTATAATTAGAAGCTATGTGCTATATTGCCACTTGGAAAAACAGAAGTGGGCATAGTAATTGCATGAAATAGTAAAGTAGATGGTTCACGAGACAAGCCGTTCTGCTTTGTAATGACCAGCTTAAATTTGGCTCCTGCTTACATCCAGTACTCGCAAAGATACGAAAGTCTTTCATATGTTCCGCTGTTCCACATCGTACCAGATTCAATACTGACTCCATCAAGCGAGGGGCTGTGAAACTGCCTTCCATATCGAGTAATCCAGGTGTTGATGTTGACGACGGTCTCGTTGAAGATGTCCTTGTAGACGCGTTCCTCTTGTATATCGTTAATGCTCAGCCACTGGTAGGGATAGGGCAGCGGCAGGTTCATGAGGAACTCGAACTGCTGGTCGCTGGTGGGGAAGGCGGGCACGGCCTCCGGGTCATCCTGGCGACACATCTCGATCAGCGCCTGGCCTCCACGGGTGCGCTGCGTGTGCGGCCGGTACGTGACGCCGCCGCCGTCCGGCATCACCACGTAGCCGGGAGGGTGGGGTCGCTGCCAGACCGCTCCGGCCTCCTCCGTTAGCGGGCTGTCGGCCGAGTGCAGCGGCAGCAGCCGGCACTGGGTGCTCACAGCGTCCCGCTGCCACTTGAGACAGTCGGCCGTGACCAGGCAGAGCATGGCGCAGATGGTGTTGCTGGCTGTCGGCTCGGTCCGCAGCGGCACGCTGGCGTGCTGCACGTGACGCGTCACGAAGACGGTAGAGTTTTGCGCCACTACGGACACGACCAGCAGCAGGGCCGGTACGAGCCACCGGCTTGGAGTCATCAGACGGCCGCAGAACGACATCCTGCCGGCCGCCACCAACGACCTGGACTGCAGCAGGCAGGGCCCGCACGCTCTGGCTACACGGAACTACTGCATTGTGGCAAATTGTTTATTGTGCCAAAACAGCCACAGGCCACCACCTAGTTACGGCTGCACTACGAAGCATGCCATTATTTAGCAGCTGCGAGACAATGACGTAAGGCTTTTTCGTGTTAATTAAGTAGGTTAATTAAGTACCTGTAAGCCAATTCAAACCCTAGTTCTGTAAGATAAGCATCTGAGTGGTAACAGCTCAAACTGTGTGCATACAAGGTTCATTTAACATGCTAGGATGCTCATTAGCTCGTTCTGGCAACTGGCATTTCACGGGTTTGTTGAGCTTACATATCCTTCGTGCACACCCACCCACCTCTTCCTTTTTTCCTCCTTTCAACGGTCCCATTCCTTGGCCCTTTACTTCCCACACCTTCACTCCGGCTGCCCCACCATGGGGACGCCGTCAGCACCCGCTCTCTGACTCCTACTCTGACTCCGACTACCATCCGATGTTTAATACGACTCTAGACCCTACTCCTGCATCATCTATGGATACCGACTCTTCTTCTCCCCCTGCCAACTCTTCGCTCTCGCTGAACTATCCCGTACTGACATTGAGTTGAATTTCATCTGACCGGCTGACCGAATTGATTTTCAACCACTTTTTATTGGTAGTAAGATTTAATAGGTAAACGTATTGTTGCATAAAAATGCCTAAATAATGAACGAACTACATATGCAAACTAGGGACTGTAATCCCGACACGTTTTTCCAATCCCGGGATCCCGAAAGCTTTTATTTCCCGGGATCCCGGATTGGTTACAAAATGCCGTAAGAATGATTTCCTACTTACATATTTTGCGTCCTTTAGCTCACCACAAACAAAGAGGCAATCAAAAGTCAGCCTTAGACCATGTCCTTTGCATTACAAACGATTGAATTTGTGAAGAAATCGTCTCAATTTAACTGGCATTGATTCCCTATTGGCGTTTTTAAAACTGTGCGTCGATCAGTGCGTTTACTGTCTCGTTATTGAGGCGGGTTCCGACACCCTACGTCTCACTCACTCTGCGTCTACGCTAGTTGGTACCACAGATTTAAGCCATTGCTGGTAGGTCTGTTTATTGTAACTCGCGATCAGTGTACGCCCAATTTGGTAGCTCCCTATTTCACAATGTTTTCAAGACGTCGCTTGGTCACTGATTTCTCTCAGACTGCTCCAAAGCTGCTTTGAAGGCAGAGTCACTGACTGGGAGAGCTCCACTCTGTCGTCTTCAACGTACGTTTGAATCAGCGAGCTTTGGCGTCACTTGCGTGACATCTGTGACATCTTCCTGCGCCACGAGCACAGCGACTGTCTTGATGACCTCTTTTGTTCCGGCCACAGACGGACAAGTCAAAATCGCTGAACGGTCCGCGATCCTGATGAAGATGCTGCAGCACTGATGCTGCAATTTTTTGGCGTTCGGGGACCCTTTTCGTACGCGTTTAAGCGGCTTAACCGCTGTGGCTGATCCCCGGGAGCTACCAACACGGTCGATTGTGGACGGCTGAGACAGGGTGCTAGCTAAATACACTTGTAGTAGTTTCTCTGCTTTATGTCACGCAGTATTTGAACAGTTTGAACATGACTGGTGCAGCCAAGGTGCAGGCTGCATTCCTCTTTTGGTGAAAAACTGTTTTTTTCGGGGTCCCGGGATTGGCGAACATTCGGGACCGATGAGGATCCCGCCGGGATCCCAGGATCCCGATCCCGGGATTGCAATCTCTAATGCGAACCCTTCATACATTGTGAGATTGGAAGATCATCTCTGGAACACACTCAAGTCAATGCTACCTTTACAGTTTTGCGCATATAAACCCGTAGTGGGAGCCTCAGACATTCCCCCGAATCTCAGAAGTCACACCTATTTCAAGCAATGCTCTGGAATGGCTAGCACGAGGTTTTCCCGTGCATTGCTTCCAATTATCTTGTAACTGGCTGATCCGAGAGAAGGCGGAGTTTTGGAGGCCCCGTGGGGCTCACTCCGTGTTAAAATGGGCGGAGCTTTAGGGCACTGAGAGGCCCATCTGCGGGGATCAGATGGGGCTCGGTCCACCCGGGCGGTATACATATAGGGCCGGCTGCTGATGGGTGCCTCAGACATCACCATGCAGTGGTTCAGCCCGCAGTACTTGGCTGCCTTCGTTCTGGGGCTGCTCGCAGCCGCCTCCGCCTCACGTAAGTTATTATAGGGTCAGACCGACACTTTCCATTTCAATTGCCTTTCTCACGATTGTTTTCACTTGTATTGACAGTTAGGAGACAGGTGATTTTCTTGCAATTTCAACTGCCATCACTCTTAAAAGAGCATTTAATGTGAAAAAGTGAACTTCATTTAAAATCACGATGATCTTCCTGTTTTCCAGCGCTGCCTGGCGGCGGGGGCGGCGGCGGCGGTGGGGGCGGTGGCGGTGGCGGTGGCGGCGGCGGCGGCGGTGGCGGACGCTGAAGTTTCAGCCTAAGACTAACACAGACCGACAATCATCCTCTACAGCGACTGGTCATGCTACGGACAGCTTTGATCGAAATTCCACAAATTCAAAGAAGAAAGGAGACCCATGCAGTAGTTGGCTTTGATTCAGTTGATTATGGCCGAATGTCGATTAATACAAACCGCAGTCAGAGTTGAATGTTTTGGGGAGCTTCTAAGGCGGCAGCAAAGTGACGTTGGACTTAGATAGTCATTCTATTCTGTTGTTAATATTACACACACATAGGTGCTGATGTTTACCACTACTTCGGAGTCATGGATGATAAAAGAGGGTAGAAGACGGTAAACGCGAACACTACATAGTCATCGAATGGTAAACGGTAGACGGTGGACGGTAGACGAAAGGCGGCGGATGGTAGCCCCCCCCCCAAAAAAAAACATTCAATTAAAACATAGCCTTTTGGATTTGCTTCCTTACGCTTTATGGTGCAATTGAAAGCATTATTCTAGCTCATAAAAATGGTTTAGTTCCCATTTTCAGAGAAAATAAACACGACAAAATTGCGACTATTTTGGACGCTGCGACCTGCAAGAGGGTAGATGCCGAAGTGCCCACTTTGGATCCACAACTGACCCCTAGCGGAACTTGATGCACAGGTTGCAGGTCATGGCCTGATCTCTAATCCCTTCCCCATTCAGGAAACTACGACTAACAATAGTTTAAAGTGGAATGAGTGACATTTCCATATAGCCTGATATTTCTCAATCCTCACCGACTGAATAGCTATATCCTGCTCACTTTGGCCAGGAAACCAGGGAGGATCATTACAGTAGGAGCCTGTTCCTCTTGGGTGACCGTTTAGGTGGCTGACCGGCCTGTTCCGACAGGATACCCCCATCCCAACATGACGGGCGCTGCCGCTGCGACATATACCAGTCGAATGTCGCATCAGCTCGACATCTAACTACCCCGTCATATCATCTCATTTCATGGCCCTGGAATCGTTGTCACACGTCATAGCGGCATAACGCAACCCAAATAAGAAAACATTTTATGCGTTTATTTACCATACGCCACCAGCAGGAGTATAAGTCGGCAAAGGACGCAGTTTCATTCAGCCTTCCGATAACATATTAGCCGCGTTGACATAGGGCTAGTTGCCAGATAGTGGAATTCCGATACCGAGACATTTATTCCACTAACGTGACATTTCAGGCACATTCCGCTGGTTCTGACGACTTATGCGGCCTTCTGACCGGAAAGGTCGTCAAAAAAAAAAAACAGGGAAGTGCTGAAAGAGTATAGCACTGAAAAGTAGCACACATTCTAATTTCTAGGACCTTTAGTGCGCATGTGCAGCGTTTTAAAAACTCATGCCGAAGATTGAAATATTATCTATATAGTTAGGCTGTTCTGTGGCATTCCTCCGACTTTTTCACACTCTATACGGAAGTATTCTGTGGCTCCTTAACCCGGCAGTTGCTGGGGTATTTCGCCACCCACCGTTTGCTGGGGGGGGGGGGGCGTTAAACGCCCCCAGCTGATAACTCCAGAACCAATAGGCGCAGCGAAACGCACGAGGCGGCAAACGAAAGAACGCGACGAGACGCTTCAGATGAGTACTTTAAAGTTGAATTTTGAGGTCACAGGTCGGGTCAAGGTCAGGTCAAACACCTGAAATCGGGCTTTCAGTAGCATGGACTTCAGGACTTCGCAATGGACGCCTCTCGTCATAAACTCTGTCAAAACGGTGCACAATCTATCATATAAGGCCTACAAGAGTGTCAGCTCCATGTAGGGGTCAGTCAAGCATAGGTCAGGGTCAAGGTCAGGTCAACCGGGTAGGCACATATCCCCGAAAATCAAAACTGATATTCGCAGCCTGTGACACATGTTTTATGGGTAATTTAAGGCGTAGAACATGATGGTGACATTCATTTTATCATATGTGTACGCGTTTGGCTCAAAAAGTTAAATTTAAGAGATGCATGTATCATGGTCGTGAGGTAGTCACGAGAAATTGCCAAGATTCAGTTCAAGATTTTGAAAAATGCGGAGCGATAATCAATAATCGAAGATAGCCATTTGATTGTTCATGAAATTGTCAGTTTAATGGCGTTTACGTCATGTCTGTATGTCTATTCTGTGATTTTATATGATTTTTTGAACATATGCCGTTTTTAGTCGAAAACTCAGAAATCATGACGTCACTAAAACCTCGATATCTCAAAAAAAATTCCGACCGATTTTTTTGAAACTTTGTCACAATAAATTTCAATTAATTCCCTACAGAGGCCTCTTGCACCAAAATCCTCTTGCACCAATGCTTGGATTATTTTGCATCGTGTACCCAATCCAAGAATCTAGTGTGACAGTTTGCGTGTAAAATTTACCATGCACCTGTAGGATTATGTATTGGGCTATTGCAAACAAATTTACCACCGTCAGATTACCTTATTCTGAAACCGGTTTTTCGATTTTACCTAGCTAGGTAGTTTGGTGCAAGAGGCCTCAGGTATCCAAAATCTGGCGCGCCGCAGGCGCGCCGTTTTTATGCCATGGCCTGGCGAAAACAGTGGGGGCATTTAACGCCCCCCCCCCCAGCAACTCGCGGGTTAAGACGTGGAACGCCTCAGGCCTCTGATGCTGTCAGTTACTGTGATGATGCCCCCCTGGGGTCCGGAAGCGGTGGGGAGTATGTTTTCAAAAAAAAAAAATATTGTTTAATAAAATTTCGTTCATCGGGGGTGTTTTCTGTCCGAGATGGTTGCCGACCTGCGCCGTGCTCTGGAACGACCTCAGGTGAGTGTTTTCGGCTGGTAGATCCTCAAATGGTTGATTAATGAGTTGATTTTCTTGCTGTTTGATTTCTCTCCTGTTCAAACGTAATTTACACACCCATTTCCAATTGCTGATCGGTCCGTTGGTTTCAAGCTGACCGATTCCTTTCTGCCACCGTTCCTTGCGCCTGGGGCTCGTCACAAACAATATTTATAATGAGGCTGGCTTGTCGCTTGTCAACATATAGTCTTCACTGCCTAGGATGGTATCTGTCTCATAAGGAATTTAGGACACGGATGTCTCCCCAAAGCATATAATTTTGATGCCTCCCTTGAGGACATAACCTGAAGCCACCATCTGATACCTGATAGCTACCCACCATTCTCTCCCTTTCTAATGCCTATCATCCCAAAGATAATCGAGTACATCCCCATTTAATGTCGCCCTCAATGCTGAGATTAGATCTCCCGCTGGTCCTTACACTATATGACGCATACCTCAATCTCCCTCAGACTCACGCTCTTTGTCATACCTCTCTCATCCCACTACAATAAATTTGATCCCGCGTCGACCTCTCAGTCCCTCCCAGCAATTGTTCTAACTCCCTCCAGCGGTACATATCAGGGACAATAAACGCAATTTGTTCAATAGACTCCGTGATTAGTGTAAATTTCATCTAAGCTTACTCTTACCTCCCAACGACTTATCGCGCCCCATTCCAGCATTGGAATCGTGTGTGCTCTTCCTAGCACCTCTTGGGCTCCCTGGCCCAATATCCTCGAACACCTACATCACCTGACCCTGATTACTTGTCTAAAGGTGCAACGCAGGTAGCGATTACATTATTAGCGTTCGTCGATGGATGTGATTGGTTCAATCAATCTCTGCCGGCCCACTCTCTTCGAACACCTACATCATTTGACCCCGATTACTTGTCTAAAGATCGACGCGGGTAGCGTCAGTTATTAGCGTTCCTCAGTGGCTTATGATTGGTCCGTCAACCTCTGCCGCTCACGGCACATCTCTGTTTCCCTACTAAAACCCCGCGGCCGGACGTTGGTTACTGACCCTTGCAGCCCTTCTGTGAGAGACCGTCTTACGCGTTTTCACCTAACGAACCGGTGGACACAAGCCTGCTACCCCGACGACCGCAGTCTCACCGGGCTCATAGACAGGTACCTACTCAGTACTCTCATGCAGTCATGGCACCCGCAAGTGGCGCCTTTGAATCATTGACCGGTGTGACTCGAAGACTCCATGACTGAATCTATCCTGCAATTTTATCCGACGCCGTGGAATTCTGTCCTGCAGATGTGTTTTCAAGCGCGTTAGCGTCATGAGTGATGTATGCTGCGATCTTTCCGACGGTGGACTTATCACTTACCTCATCCCGGCGGTATTACTCCTCGCCTTATTATTCTATCATCTTCTTCGTATTTGTCACTCACCTTGGGCGGGGTGCTCCCTCGCCCCGTCTCTCTCTGACCCACCTCTCAGCTTGGGCGTCTTATGGCGTTCTTCGTTCCGATATCTGCCTAACATACTTACTTCTTCCGTAACGTGAGACAGTTCCGATCCTAGTAGACTTAGACGTATCAGCAGAGTCAAAAACACATGAAAGTGTTGCAACATACCTCCTCTTCGGCTAGCATCCATCCTTAGATCCTTTCCTCCTTGTGTAATTCCGGTTTCAATATCTATCGACCACTTCAAAGTCACTCCTTCTGTATCTCCTTACCTGTCTGATCCGTAGAATCCCTTCAGTCCATGTGCGCACCGCTGCGCGGTACGAATCAATTGTTACCCGCGACATGAACAACAGAAAAAAAATCATTGGATAGAGAAATCTGCGCCGCCAAATACTCAGACCATCTACCATTCCTTTCATCTACACGATATTTACGCCTACCAGCCGAAACGTCTCCACCGCAGCTTGCTATATTCACTCAGTGACATCATATTCCAGGAAACAGACTGTGTTTACGCTTGTTGATCAGTAATGACGTCATAAGATCGTGTCGTCGGCGGTTTGGTACATCCTGACTTCTCATCGTCTAACCTTGGACACGCCAACTTTTGGTCGGAATTTCAACTTGACTTTCTTGAGTGTTCCACGTGGTTTCAATGAAGCAATTCTCGGTAGTGCCCAATCATTTGTGATCATGAATATTTTTTATGTGGATTGTTGTCTGGCGTCCCTCGCCACGCTGTCGCAACTTTCTCTGGGGTCGTAAGTATTTGCATCAAGGGAACTCTAAGGTAGTGCGCCGGATTAGTCTCAATTTGGCATTTCGGTTTAAGGACAATCCAAATCATGTGATTTCATGTTATGCCACTGAACCGATTTTTAGAATCAATTGCATAATGCAGATTTTTATTGACATACTGGTCCAGATGATTTATTTAATTTG